CTTGATTTACAATTGTCATTTAGGAAGTCATTTTATTTCGACAATGAGGAATCAGATACAGATTGGATTTTGTTGTGTGAACTGTTACGAATTTGTCTTGCTTTGCGGAATTTTCTGGCCCCTTTTGATTTTTTGTTCTTCTTTTTTTGTTTTTCGTTTCCATGGTGCGAGGGATGTTATATGCATATGCTCGCATGTTCAATATTTAGGGTTTAAACTAATATGTTTATTCTTCTCTCAAGGAGGAATATATATACTACATACAAAGTAGGTACAAATAGGAAATATGTACAAAATCTCCTAATTCTACTCAAATTAGATAATTACAATAAAATATAAATTCTATTCCTAATAGGAACAAATTCTATTCCTAATAGAAACGTTGACTCTTGCCAACACTCCCCCTCAAGTTGGTGCATAGATATCGGTAATGCCCAACTTGTCAAGTGAGTCTTCAAATCGGCGCTTTGACACGGCATGGGTCAACATATCTACAAGCTACTCTGAAGAAGGCACAAAAGGTATAGAAATTAACTTATGCTCCAGCTTCTCCTTAATGAAATGCCGATGAACTTCTACATGCTTAGTTCGATCATGTTGCACCGGATTGTTAGCAATTTCAAATGCAGACTGCTTATAGCTTTGTAGCAGCATCTGGTCTAAACCCAATTTCAGCAAGTAACCACCTCAACCACAATATTTCACAAACCCCTTGGGCAATCCCTCTGTACTCAGACTCTGCAGAGGACCGAGACACAACGTTTTGCTTCTTGCTACGCCACGTAACTAGGTTACCACCAACAAAGGTGAAGTAACCTGATGTAGAACATCTATCTGTAATATTCCCTGCATAATCTGCGTCAATGTAACCTTCTAGATCCAAGTGGCCATTTTTCTTAAATAATAATCCTCTCCCAGGAGCAGACTTTAAGTAACTCAGAATACGCATCACAGCGGCCATATGGTCCTCACTAGGTGAATGCATAAATTGGCTAGCAACGCTTACCGCATAGGCAATATCAGGGAGTGTCAATGATAAATAAATCAATCTTCCAACTAACCTTTGGTATTTTTCTTTGTTAGTTGGAACCTGATCCACATAAACACCAAGTTTATGATTCTCAACAGTAGGTGTATCAGCTGGTTTACAGTCAAGCATTCCAGTATCTGCTAGCAGGTACATAACATACTTCCTTTGTAAAAGAAATAAGCCATGTTTAGATCGAGTGACTTCCACTCATAGAAAATATTTCAAACTGCCCAAATCTTTCATCTCAAATTCAGATGCTAAACGCTTCTGCAGTTTCTCGATTTCTACAGTATCATCACCAGTCACAATCATATCATCAACATAAATAATCAACCAAGTCACCCTACCAACCCTAAGTTTAATGAATAGAGTATGATCAGTATTGGCCTGTTGGTAACCAAACTTCTTCATAGCTGTAGTAAATCTGCCAAACCATGCCCGAGGAGACTATAACTCGTACAACGCCTTTTTTAATTTGCACACATTCCCCGTGCCACCGGTAACACTATACCCTGGTGGAAGACTCATGTACACTTCTTCTTCTAGTTCACCATGTAAGAATGCATTTTTTACATCAAATTGCCTCAAGGTCCAATCCAAGTTTACTGCTAAGGACAACAAAACTCTCACAGTATTCATCTTAGCCACATGTGCAAAAGTATCATGATAATCAACTCCATATGTCTGAGTGAACCCTTTATCTACTAATCTTGCCTTGTACCTTTCCATAGTACCATATGCATTATATTTAACTGTAAACACCCATCTGCATCCTACATGCTTCATTCCCTTTGATAGATCAACAATGTCCCATGTATTATTTTTTTGCAGCGCCTCCTCAACACGAGTTGGAATTTTAATACTATCCATTCTGGTCACAAAAGCTTTGCACTTAGGAGATAACTTGTGATCAGACACATAATGGGAAATAGCATATCTTTCTTTGCCTTCTGGTGAGTAACAATCAGGTGGAACCCCACGGTTCCTTCTAGGCGGTAAAACATAAGAATTATCAGCAGTATGAATAGAAGCACTTACCTTAGGAATATCCAAGGGAGCTTGATCGGGTACTATTAGAGAAGCTTCATGGGGGGCATCAGTTAAAATAGTAGGTTCAGCTGGTGTAGCAAGTTCAGCTAGTATAGCAGGTTCAGCCGGTTCAACAGGTTCGGTCTGTTCTTCCCTTTGTATCAAACTATCCAATACTACTTCCCCTTGTAAATCTAGCTAGTTATGTCCTCCACTACTAGTCTCCCCCTGAAGGACATGCTCGGGGGTATCAGAGAAAAACATTTCATCCTCAACAAAGGTAACATCCATAGAGACATATAGACGTCGGGTTGCAGGATGATAGCATCGGTAGCCTTTCTGATGAGGAGAAAAACCCAGAAAGACACAGCGGAGAGTACAGTGGTCCAGCTTACTCCGCTGATTCTGATGGAGGTGAACATATGCGACACAACCAAACACCTTTGGAGATAGAGTCAGCAAAGAAGAGGCAGAGATATGATGGGTCAGTACCTGCATAGGAGTTTGGAAATCCAAAACTTGTGAAGGTAGACGATTCAAGAGATAGACTGCATAGGTAACAGCATCCATCCAGAACCGCTTTGGAACTGACTTAACCAAGCAGCAGAGCACGGGCAATAGCAAGGATCTGCCTATTTTTACGTTCAGCAACCCCATTCTGTTGTGGTGTTTGAGGGCAAATAGTCTAATGGAGTACACCCTTAGTGTGGAAAAAATGGGATAACGCCGAATTAACAAATTCTCCACCATTATCAGATTGAAAAACCTTGATAGGGAGCATAAATTGAGTCTGAATCATCCAATAAAACCGCTGAAAACTTTCGACCACATCACTTTTATTTTTCATCCCATATAACCACATCATACGAGTGCAATCATCCACAAATAACAAAAACCAACGAACTCCCAAGGCTGTAGAAATAGGGGAAGGTCCCCAAACATCATAATGAACTAAATCAAATGGCATAAGCCGTTTATTACAACTTGGAGGGTAGGATACCCGATGACTCTTATCTAAAATACAAGTCTAACATTGGAAAGCAGACTCGTTTACACCACTAAATAATGCTGGAAACAAATGTCGTAAATATCCAAAGGAGGTATGACCAAATCGACAACGTAGCAACCAAATCTGGCGATGCTGAGAAGTTTTGGTGCTACCAGAACGAAGAACCCGACTAGTTGCCACATCATCCACATAATAAAGCCCCCCTTTTTTAGTACCACGACCAAAGATCTCCCAAGTCTGGATAACTTGTAGTAAGACAAAAGACGGATACATCAGTACAACGCAGTTTAACTGCTTAGTAACTTGCGGCACAGATAATAAATTACTAGACAAAGATGGAACCAGTAACACTTTGTCTAATGGTAAAGCAGGTGTCAAGAGCATAGAACCAGCTCCCATGACAGCAGCAACAGAATTATTAGCAGTCAGAACATGATCACGATGAGGCGGAATAGCAGTAGAGAATAAAGCAGAATTATACGTCATATGGTCAGTAGCTCCTGAATCAATAATCCAACCTGTATTGCATGTGTCATGGGCATGGAAAGCCTTGCCAAAGTTACCTGGAGGTGGAGGTGTTGGAGTGCTTGAGACCGCGGTCAAGGTCGGAGGAGGCGTAGCAATAAAGTGGTTGTGCCTAGTGGTGGTGTCAACCATAGAAGTGGGGGCAACAGCCACATGAGCTTTGCCATTCAGTTGTTCCTTCTTTAAACACCTCTGCTCCTTCTCCCAGTCTGGTACCCCATGGAATGCCCAGCAGGTGTCGATAGTATGTCTCTTTTCACCACAGTGATCATACTTCAGTTTGTCTTTTTCTGCAGAAGTCAGGCGACGAGGTGGAACAGCAGAAGAGCCAGACCCTGTAGGCCGAGAAACCAAAGCAGTGTTTTTGGAAGCAAACACAACAGTAAGTTCCCCAATCTTGGTGCTGGATCCAAGCATAGTAATTTGGCGTTGAGCCTCTTGATGGACCATAAAAAATACATTTTCGATACTTGGAACTTTATCACTCCGTAGAATATCACTGCGGACTTTGTCGTAAGTATCGTTAAGGCCAGCCAAAAAATCATACACACGATCTGCCATAATAGCAGCCTGAAAAGTCTTCATATCATCAGCACACTTCATCTGAAAGGGACGTCTCTTGTCCAATTCAAGCCAGATTGCCTTAAGTTCGGCAAAATAGGTAGAGACAGGACGACCCTCTTGCTTGAGACGGGTAGCCTGGCACCATAGTTCATAGAGTTGGGATATGTCAGAGCCATCATAAAACATCTGATTAACAGCATCCCAAATTTCCTTGGCAGTAGGTAGAGTATGAAACATATTCAACAAACTGGGTTCCATAGCAATTTTTCACTTCCCATATTTTGGGTCTTGGGAATCGGGGGCATCAGTGTCGCCAGTTAGGTAACCCAATTTGCCTTGTGTAGTAGCATGGAGTTCGATCATCGAAGCCCATATCTCAAAATTGGATCCATTCAATTTGAATCCCATAGGTAGATTGGTAGACGATTCGGTATGAACGGTCACAATAGGAGTAGAAGAAGAAGATTCAGTGACATCTGACATGGTGATAGATGGCGGTGATAGCAAAAGATTAGACGACGACAACAGTAAGAGATATAAGACGGCACATGCTTAGGTGTATAGGATAGGTGCAGCGGAAATAGGTATTTTTCAGGATTAGGGTTTTGATGTTGTAGAGACGGATTGAAACCCCCTTTGATACCAACTCAAAATAATTAGGGTTTAAACTAATATGTTTATTCTTCTCTCAAGGAGGAATATATATACTACATACAGAGTGAGTACAAGTAGGAAATATGTACAAAATCTCCTAATTCTACTCAAATTAGATCATTACAATAAAATATAAATTCTATTCCTAATAGAAACGTTGACTCACGCCAACAGTTATATGCATATGCTCACATGTTCAACATTGTCTCTGCCCATTACAAAGCTGTCCAAGAGATGCAACCGTGGTGCGACACTTTCTCCTCATGTTACTGTTCTTCATTTTGAACGGATGTGCTTAGAATCTTCTGGTCCATTTTCTGTTTTGTTTGTGTTCCATGAGTGGTGAGATTGTGATTACTATTTATGTATTTGATTGCTCTAGTTTCCTTTTTGGTGATTGTTTTCCAGGTATTGTCTTGAAATTGCTGGAGCCAATGCATGTACATATACATACTTCCTTAAGGTAGAGCACTGGATTACATCTGAAGAGATGCTTTTAGTAGGAGGTCCATTATTTCTTGTTCTGCATCCTTTCTGTACTGTTAAAAGGTGACCTTTACTTCCGTTCAATCAGCTGGTCTCAAAATGGATTAGCTTTTGGGGCATTGTTTGCTATAACGGGTGACTGAGCTCCTCACAGAGATCACCAGTCCTGTGCCCTCTGCTTTGTTGCCGTATGGGGTTGCTACACCTTTGTTGTGGAGGCTGCTTTTGACTAAGTTCATTACCTTTTTGATTTCTGTGTTCATTGTTGATGGGAATGCTTTAATGATCTAAAGTTGAGGCTGTGCTTTTGCTTTCTATTAAAAATATTGGTTTTGTTTGTTTTTAGTAGTTTAATTGGCCGCCTTTCTATTGGAGATCTTAAACTTAATTTAGGAAGTAGATGAGCAACAGTGAAGCTTTGCTGATGTGTTGTTGGTTTGTTTCAGCTTGAGCTGTCAAAGAAGAAAAGTTAAAGGAAATGACCTTCTCATCCATCAAATACTTGACAGGAATGCTTTCAATGATGACGGGATAGGTGTGGAGAGTGGTCCCTACCCTATCAGCTGCTGGTTTTGATGATGACGGGATAGGTGGTTAGGTTTAGAAATGGCCTAGAAGAAAATGCGTTATTGGCGCTTGCTTGCTTCATACGGTAGCAGAAACAGTGGGGTGATTTTACATGGTTTTTTCTTTTTGTATCCCGAGTGGTTGGTTTTAGCAATTGTGATCAAGGTCTTAAATATCGATATTATTCCCGATATTATCCCGATAATATCTGATTTTTGGGGAGCTGATATTTTAGCAACTAACCATGGTGTTATCATCATAATATCGATATTATCCCAATATTATCCCGATATTATCCCGATAATATCGGGGAGATAACTTCAACATTTTTATGAATAATTTGGGCAATATATCGAGATATTATCGATAATATCCCGATAATATCCCGATACGAAACCCAAAAAATACATGAATATTTTTGAAAAGCCTCCCTTGTTGCGCATAGAGGGATTCGAACCCCTCCCATTTTACTCCTTCAACACCTTAACCATCATATCACTTATATTTTTGTGAAGTCAAGAAGATGACTCGTAGAGAAAGAGGCAAGGGGACTTTGTCAAGTCAAGAAAATGACTCGTTATCTATAACTCCGGACTCTGTTGGAGTAGGAAGTAATAATTATGGTTATACTTATAACCAACCATTTCCCTACCCTTCATATCCCATTCTTGTTGGGATGGAATCAAGGGACTCATGGAAAGAATTTGAGACTCAATCTTCAAATGATTTTGCTTATGGACAACGTCAACCAATCTCGGATCCATATGGGTGGCATGTTAACAATTACATGCAAAACTATTTTGGGGATTTATCATTTGATGACTACTCTTCAAAATATACTTACTCTACACATAGAGATGATGAAGATAGTGAAAATTTTGAACCTCATAGGAACTCTATGTGGTACTAAGTCACTCATGTATCTTACCATGCAATGTATAAAGTGTAAAATATTGTAGTAATTCATTATATATAAATGATTATGGTGTGTTTAATATTATTTCATTAATTACTACATATTTTCTACACTTACAGTGTTTGCCAGCTCGCTATATAATCAACTTAAATCAGTTAAATCCATCATGCAATGCATTTCCTTTCAATTTTTTGTGATAAACTAATAGATAATTGACTAAATAAACATCCTACAAAGTTTCAATAAAACCAAGTTTTTCTTACAATTTCCTTGGTTTTTATTCAATTTTTACCGATACCGATAATATCCCGATATTTCCTTCGATATTTCCATGTTTTTGGACTTCCGATATTTCCAATACCACCGATATTTTAGACCTTGATTGTGATTACTATGCGTACTAATGTCTGAAATGGTTAGATACTACCAGAATTGTATGTGGCCTTTCTCGGCTCATAACCCAGAGCTTTTTGTCTGATAATGTTGAAATTGGTATGTTTATTTTAAAAATATATATATTTAATATTTCAATAATTGCCTTAAATTCTTCCTCTTCATATATTTTTCTTATTTTCTAAACTAAGTTTTTTGAGCAACATAGAAAGGTGTTTGTATTCGGGTCCTTCCTCAGTGCAAGGAAGAACCTAGATAGAGGAGATTCTGGGGCTGTTTTATCCTGGGGACGTAGTGGCCTTTTCTGAACAGCTTGCACAAATTGGGCAGAGCCGCGAAACGTCTTAAAGAGAGCGACTTAGTATGCGACTCATCCCAAGAATCGTTCACAGCTTCACAACAAATTTTTCCGGGTAATATTGTTCTTTTAATTTTCTCTGCGTCAACAATTTTAAGACGTTTCATCTGCCATGGAAGCTGTAAACAATTCATTCACCCCTAACCTAAATAAACCTTCCAAATTTAAGGGTCTTCATTTTAAACGATGGAGGCAAAAAATGTTGTTTTATCTTACAACGAAAAAATTAGCTTCTGTATGGACATCTGATAAACCATATGCCTCTGACAATCCCACTCCTGAACAAACTTGGGCCTTGCAGACATGGACTGAAAATGATTTTTTGTGCAAGAACTATATTTTGAATGGGTTATCTGATGATCTTTATGATTATTATTCTTCTTATGATACTGCTAAAGATTTGTGGGATGCGCTTCAGAAAAAATATGATACAGAAGAGGCTGGTGCAAAGAAATTTGCTGTCAGTTGCTATTTGAAGTTTCAAATGGTGGATGAAAATCAGTAGAAGCACAATCTCATGAACTACAGAAAATTGCACATTAAATTATTATTGAAGGCATGAATTTAGATGAACAATTTCAGGTGGCTGTTATCATTGACAAGATGCCTCCCAGCTGAACTACAGAAAATTGCACATTAAATTATTATTGAAGGCATGAATTTAGATGAACAATTTCAGGTGGCTGTTATCATTGACAAGATGCCTCCCAGCTGGAAAGATTTCAAGAATGCTCTACGTCAAAAGACCAAAGAATTTTCCTTGGAAAGCTTGATCACTCGTCTGCATATTGAGGAGGAGGCCAGGAAGCATGACATGAAAGAAGAAGTTTTGCTCGTCTCCAACAACAAGAAAAATCACAACTCCAACAGGAATCAAACCCCAGCTGCTCTGAAGACAAATGGCAAGAATATGACAAATCAAAACAGGAACCGCAACAACAACAACAATCAGAATCGGAATGGGCAACACAACCAGAGTCGGAATCCTCAACACTATCAGAATCGGAACCTTCATCAGAATCAGAATAGGAGTCAACCCCCCTCACGTGATGATGATTCGGGATAGTTTCTATGTTATAACTGTCACAAGCCGGGGCACCTCGCCCGGAACTGCAGGAATAGGTCTCGCCCTGCTCCTCAAGTGAATATAACTGAAGAGCAACTTATTGCTATGATTTCAGAAATCAACATGGTTGATGGATCCGAGGGGTGGTGGGTAGACACTGGCGCTTCTCGCCATGTTTGCTATAATCGTGCCTTTTTCAAGACCTATTCTGTGATTGATGATAGGAAAGTATTGTTGGGTGATTCTCACACAACAATTGTTGCTGGAACTGGAGAAATAGAATTGAAGTTTACTTCGGGAAAGACTGTCATCCTCAAAGATGTTCTGCACACTCCAGAAATAAGGAAGAATCTAGTCTCAGGCTATCTTCTCAACATGGCTGGGTTTACTCAAACAATTGGAGCAGACTTGTATACAATTACACAAAATGGTATGTTTGTTGGTAAGGGCTATGCTACTGATGGAATGTTCAAATTGAATGTTGATGCTAATAAAAGTTCTTCTTCTACTTATATGTTGTGTTCTTTTAATACTTGGCATGCTAGACTCTGACATGTTAACAAAAGGCTTGTTAAAAATATGAGTAAATTAAGATTTATTCCTGAAATGTCGCTGAATGATTTTGAGAAGTGTGAATTTTGTAGCCAAGCTAAAATTACCAAAACCCCACATAAATCTGTCACTAGAGTATCTGAACCACTTGATCTATTTCATTCTGACATTTGCGAATTTGATGGAGTGTTAACTAGAAATGGGAAACGATACTTTATCACTTTTATTGATGATTGCTCTAATTATTCTTTTGTTTATCTCATGAAAAATAAAAGTGAAGCAATTGATATGTTTAAGATTTTCATAACTGAAATTGAAAATCAACTTAATAGAAAAATTAAGAGATTTCACAGTGATAGAGGTCAAGAATATGAATCTTGTGTTTTTGTTGATTTGTATAAATCTCTTGGTATTATTCATGAAACAACTGCCCCTTATTCTCCTGAAATGAATGGTAAAGCTGAAAGAAAAAATAGAACACTTGCTGAATTAATTGTTGCTGTTTTACTTAGTTCAGGAGCTGCTTCTTTTTGGTGGGGGGAGATTCTACTCACTGTTTGTTATGTGCTAAATAGAATTCCCAACTCTAAAACTAAAATTTCCCCTTACGAAATTTTGAAAAATAGGAAACCTAATGTATTGTATTTTAGAACTTGGGGTTGTTTGGCTTATGTGCGTATCCCTGATCCAAAAAGATCAAAACTGGCTAGTTGAGCATATGAATGTGTTTTTCTTGGGTATGATGTTAATAGTAAGGCCTACAGATTTTATGATTTAAAGAACCATGTTGTAATTGAATCTAATGATGCTGATTTTTTTGAAGATAAATTTCCTTTTAAATTGAGAAATAGTGGGGGTTCAACATCTAGTAATCTTTCTCTATCTAGAAATAATGAACCTAAAGGTATAGAGCTTTCTGAACCTAATGTAGAACCAAGGAAGAGTAAGAGAGCACAAATTGCAAAGGACTTTGGATCTGATCTTCATATATATACCTTGGAATAGGATCCCACAACTCTTCAAGAAGCTTTGTCTTCTTTGGATGCAGATTTATGGCAAGAAGCAATAAATGATGAAATGGACTCCTTGGAGTCCAATAAAACTTGGCACCTTGTAGATCTTCCACCTGGTTGTAAGACAATTGGTTGTAAGTGGATTCTTAAAAAGAAATTAAAACCTGATGGTTCAATTGAAAAATATAAGGCTCGTCTTGTAGCCAAAGGGTATAGGCAAAGGGAAAATGTGGACTTCTTTGATACTTATTCACATGTCACTAGGATAACTTCTATTCGTGTGCTGTTTGCTTTAGCTACTATTCATGATCGTGTTGTGCACCAAATGGACGTTAAAATAGCGTTCTTGAATGGTGATTTAGATGAAGAAATTTACATGGACCAACCTGAGGGTTTTATTGTTCATGGAAAAGAAAATAAAGTTTGTAAATTAGACAAATCTCTTTATGGTTTGAAACAGGCACCTAAGCAATGGCATACAAAATTTGACAGTTTAGTCATCTCAAATGGTTTCCAAATAAATGAAAGCGACAAATGTATTTATTTTAAGCATGAGAATAATGTTTGCACTGTTATATGTCTATGTGGATGACGTACTTATTTTTGGCTCTAATATTCATGCTGTGAATAGTGTCAAATCTTTGTTATGTGCGAACTTTGATATGAAAGATTTAGGTGATGCTAATGTGATACTTGGAATTAAGATAACTAGGTCTGAAAAAGGATTCTCTTTGGATCAATCTCATTACATTGAAAAAAATCCTTAAGAAGTATAATTACTTTGACTGTAAACCAGCATGTACTCCTTATGATCCTAGTGTAAAATTGTTCAAGAACGTTGGCGACAGTGTTAGACAAACTGAGTATGCGAGCATTATTAGTAGCCTTCAATATGCTACTGATTGCACTAGGCCTGATATAACTTATGCCGTAGGAGTACTATGCAGATTTACAAGTAGACCTAGTTTGGAGCATTGGTATGCTATTGAGAGGGTCTTGCGGTACCTTAAAAGGACAATGAACCTTGGATTGCACTATGAGAAGTTTCCCGCTGTCCTAGAAGGATATAGCGATGCTGATTGGAATACCCTGTCAGATGATTCAGAGGCTACTAGTGGATATATATTTAATATTGCTGGTGGTGCAGTTTCATGGAAGTCTAAGAAACAGACTATTCTGGCTCAATCCACAATGGAGTCAGAGATGATAGCCCTAGCAATGGCTAGTGAGGAAGCAGGTTGGTTGAGAAAGCTACTCTCAGATACCCCCTTATGGGAGAGACCGATACCAGCTGTTCTTATCCATTGTGATAGTACTGTAGCTATTGCAAAAGTTCAGAACCGTTATTATAACGGCAAGAGGAGACAAATACGTCGCAAGCACAGTACTATTAGAGAGTTTCTTTCTAATGGGGCTGTAAGAGTGGATTATGTACGGTCTGATGAGAATTTAGCTGATCCTTTGACGAAAGGACTAGCACGAGAAAAGGTTTGGAAAACCTCAAAAGGAATGGGACTTAAACCCCTAGAAGGCTAAGTCATTTGTGATGGTAACCCAACCTATAGATTGGAAATCCCAAGAAATAGGTTCAATGGGTAATAACAAGTCATTTAGTGATATGAGTAGAGTCATGCTATTGTTCCATATCCATCCTTAGAAGCATGAAATCCTAAGGCGATTTAAGGCTGAGTTGTTTATAACTCTTAATGAGATCTATACTCTATATTGAGTGGGATATCTAGCTACAGGAATATATCTGATAGTCTCACCTATGTGAATGTGAAAGTGAGGCCGCTTTCTATGAAAATTTTGGGGGAAATTCTCTAGAGCATTCACTATACTGGGATACAAGCACATGGCCGTAAAGTGCTGGCTTTTGAACTTCACCTTAGTAGGGCTGTGTGTGTGGTGTTGTCAGAGATAGAGTTCAAAACTATATGTTACTCTTGTATATTCTGAAGCTCCGTCACTATGTAAAGGTTCAAGTTGAAAAACACCTCTACTTATGCACAGTCTTATGATATGTTGCTTAATGAATTTATTTCTAAAATAAACAAGTGGGGGATTGTTGAAATTGGTATGTTTATTTTAAAATATATATATTCAATATTTCAATAATTGCCTTAAATTGTCTTTATTAATAGGAGTTATTTTATATTAATATTGGCTGATTTTTTCAACTGATGCATTGATGTCTTTAAAGCCCACCAACCTCTCTTTTGTGATAAATCTTGTATATATAACTGATATAGCTAGGAGAGAAAGGGACACATACCATAGCTGCTGCCTTCTTCCTCTTCATATATTTTTCTTATTTTCTAAACTAAGTTTTCTGAGCAACATAGAAAGGTGTTTGTATTCGGGTCCTTCCTTAGTGCAAGGAAGAACCTAGACAGAGGAGATTCTGGGGCTGTTTTATCCTGGGGACGTAGTGGCCTTTTTTGAACAGCTTGCACAAATTGGGCAGAGCCGCGAAACGTCTTAAAGAGAGCGACTTAGTACGTGACTCATTCCAAGAATCGTTCACAGCTTCACAATGAATTTTTCCGGATAATATTGTTCTTTTAATTTTCTCTGCGTCAACAGATAATCTGCTTTAAATTAAATGATTCTGTTGTTATTTTTGTCATGTGTTGTTTCACCTTCCTCTTAGTCCAGGTAGACCAAAAGAAAAACTTCCTCTTAGTCTCACCTGTCCTTTTCTTTTCTCACAGACAGCCATAAGAAATTTATGACCTACTCTCTCAACCATTACTCTTTCTAGCTCAAGCCCTAATGAATTTCAAGGCCATTCACCACCCAAAGGAAAAGATGTATATGGTTGCCTTATGGGGACTTCTCTTCATCTTTTTTATTTATTTATTTATTTATATATATTTTTAGCCAAACTTAGTACCATGGGACTCAAACCTAAGACTGCTTGGGAGCACACCAAAAACCTAGGCCAATACAATTAACCCCTCATTGGTTCCTCTTATCTCTAATACTTAGAAGTTTGCATCATGTGCTACAAGTCTACAACGGTCGTCGATAAATACTCACTCCTTTCCTCTCAAATTTGATCCAAACTTTGCTGGGTTTTGTTTGTTTGTTTGAAGAATCATTGGTTTCTCTCGTTCTGAAATTTTGTTTATGAGTTGTTGGATTTGGATTGCATAGGCCTTCTCCAACCCATGAGGGGCTAAACTCAACTTTTCTCCCTCTAAAAAATAACTATTTGGGTTTTGCCCAGACTCAAATCGTTTTTTCTCTCAACTCTCTGGACTCAAATTTTAAGTCCACAACTTTATTAAATTGTTTAAGAATGGTTTAAGTTCCTGTTTGGCATTGCTTATTTGGAGCAAAAATCACTTTCTTGGAAAGTTTTCTTCCACCTACCTGTTTGGTAAATGAAAAAATAATCTGATTTTAAGAATAATTGCTTTCAGGCACAGCGATTTGACAACGCTACTAGGAGGGTGATTTCATTTCCGCTTATGCGGAAAGTGGTTTGGGGAACGGTGCTCTTTAATGAATGTTTCATAAATGCCCAAATTATCCTCGTAGGCTTTTACAAATGACATCTAGTGTCCTCTTCACTTTTGCTGAACCCTCCGTCCTCTTCCCTCACGATCAGTACTCAATTATTCTTCTTCTTCATCTTGTTCTTTTTTTTTTTTCTTCTCATCTTCTCTTCACACCTTTTTCTTGAATTTGTCTCCACGATTCCTGCTACCTAGATCTAAGGTTTGTTTCTCATCTTCTTCTTTTTTTCTTTTTTCTTTTTTTTTAATATTTATTTTAAATTTTTTTTTAATTTTATTTCTCCCTTCATTTCTAGGTTGTATTCTCAAACAAGGTTTTATTCCGCATCACCCTCAGGTCAGGTTGCTATAAATTTATTGGTTTTGTTGGATCACTAGTGTATTTTCTTTACTCTCTTTCTGGGTTTCAATGGAATGCTATGAATTGATTTTATAAAAACAGAAAAGGAAAAAAAAAAAGGAGGGGGGGGGGAACTCATCCTACCTTCTGGGTTCTAATGAATGAGCCACATATCGTATCTGGAAAGAGGGGGCTCATCATACCTTCTTGAAAGAGGATAATTGAAAACATCATCAATCTATACTCTTTTAATTTCTAAATTTACTTATTAATTGTATCTCCCTGTTTTTTTTGGATCTTTCTTTCTGGGTTTCAATAAAATGCTATATTAATTGACAAAAACAAAAACAAGGCAGTATGTGCACACATAGCGCATCTGGAAAGTGATAATGAGGGGTCAAAGTGAATTGGACATTAATTGGCAATTGGTTGTTGTGTTGGCCATGGATAAAGAGGCAAGGAGGACATTGAATACTAGCAGCATGATGGGAAGATTTTGAGTTATTATTATATCCATATGTGAATTTCAATTGGTCATAACAAATTTGAGTTGTTATTATATTTATTTGTGAATTCCGGTCATAACATTCAGAGTTTAGGTATTGCAATCTTAAATAATAACCTCATGCCCCTCTGAGTCATTATACATAGCTCACAGCACTTTTATATAAAAATTTACCAAACACTCAAAAACTGATTATTGTACCAAAATTACTTTTAACAAGAAGTTTACCAAACGCCAAACTGCTTTCTTTTACAGCTGATTTCTCATACAGCAAATTCAACAGTGATTATTTTCACAGCACAGCAATGCCAAACTGGCCCTAAGTCTAATTTTTTTATTTTATGGATAACTTTTCTTTATTTAATCTTTATAAATACGTTCATAATTTAATTTTTTTGAACAATTTGATCCAAAAAAATTGAAATTGTACAAATATAATGTTTTTGGTAGATTATTGGAGAAATGAGTGGGTATTTATAGAATTTGGGGTGAGTTTTGGGGTTGGGTCTAATTTAGATTAAGTTAAAATATTTATTTGATCTTTGGATTTAAATTTCAACCGTTGGATCTTTTTTTTTACCTTTAAAAGAGCTTAGATTTAATATATATCGTTGATTTAAGTTAATATTAGAATATAAAAAAATAAAAAAAATAAAAAAAATAACATCACCACAAGAAAAATGCATCATCTTCCACATGGGTTGTTGGTGGGCCCCAGAGATGAAAGCTTGCACATGGGTTGCTGATGCAGCAGGTGGGCTCCACAAATTTTTTTTAAGTCCAGGCAATACTTGGACTGCTATTTGGGTCCAAATTTGAGTTTTCTCAAATTTTGGCCCCTTCATTTTTTTGGGTTGGAATAGATTTTGGGCAATAATTTGAGTTTAGATCCTTGGGTTGGAGATGGCCTTAACTGATATAAAAATAGCTAATGGGACAAATAAATAGTAAAAAAAATGCGGACGGCGGATCACTGCTAGCTAGCTATATAGATTATGATTGGGTGGGGCCATTTTCATTATTTTCTTGTGGTTGAAAATGAGCGAGGAATGGGTAGAGGTGCAAGTGGAGGAGAGTTGAGATTGGGAGTACGTTTTCTGATTTTCTTTGTCTTCCTTATTTGTCTTATACTTCTCTCTTCTCTCGCACATGAAATGGACAAATAGACTAGAATCATAGAATGCGAATCTAGTGCGTCTCTTTATTTTTTTTGTCACTTTAGTATTTGGCGGGGCCATAAGATCCATGACCAGTCGTTTCAGCTCATGAAATATTGTTTTTCGGTCCTTCTAATTTCATTTCTTGAACTCAATTATTATTACACCGGATTGCTATTGCACCCAATCTTTAAAGTTGACAAGTAAGAGTTTCCTTTTTCTTCTATAATTTTATCTTTTAAGTGCTTCTTACTCAATTACAATACATTATTAAGTTGTAATTTTTTCCAATGAATATTTAAACAGAATTGTATTTTTTTTTTATATATATAAGAGAGGTAATATAAGATAATATGTTTAGAATTATATTTATTTTCATGTGCTTCTTGTTTCTGAATCATAGATTTTAGTCATTTTTTGGGTTGCGTGTGATTCTCTCCATATCAATTTAATATGTTGTTGTGTTTGGTAATTAGAGAAGATGTACCCATATTTGATACACAGTTGCTTTGTACTTTTGTGTGTTCATGAATAATAACTATCGCTTATTCTATATAAAAAAAACTATAATAATCTATTTATATCACTCCAAGGAAGATGTCAACCAGTAAAAGAAGTCAAAATTTACTTGAACCGAATTGCTATAGTCTACGTGGAACGGCATGTGAAACCTCTAATGTCAAAATTGACGTCTTTTGATTATTTTATTATTTCTTTGCCCATCTAGTTTTTGCTTTATCCTTTTATTTAATACTTATCTTTCTTTTTTTTTCCTTCTTGTTATTATTTGCTTTACATGCTCTGTCATTATCTGCTTTCATTATTATTTTCCTATTTCTTTTTTTTCTTTTTTTTTTGCTTTTTTCTCGTTACTTGACACTACAATATCATTGAATTTTTGTACCATTGAAAATTTATGTTGATCTTTTTCAACTTTTTTCCTCTTATTGTACCGTTACATTTTTATTTTATTTTATAAACACACAACCTTTTTCTTTTTCAATTAAAGATTATCATCAACCAACGTGGAGATGGATATTTCTTTTGTTTAATTATATTTATGTTACATTTTATAATTAATTTATAAGTATTTTCACTTAATCAATCAATTATTCTTAATAGTAAACTATAAAAATACATTCATTTAAGTCAACACTAATGTAGTAAAATAATATTTTAATTTGACATATCGAGTGGAGTGTAAAACTGTGCAGGATGTCAAATTGCCACATCAGCCCTCAAATGTAAATTTAATGTTTGATTTTTGACATCTTCCTTGGAGATGCTCTAAGCTTTTAGTTTTTTTCCCCATAATTATAAATAGAAAGGGAGTATTTTCACGCCATATAAGGGTGAGTGATATCATCTTCCTGAATTTCGATGTGGAAGTCAACCAAGAGGGAAGAAAGAAATATTTAACCACATGCATTCTTCCCTAAGATACACAATCGAAAGAACTTTTGGTGTTTGAAAAAATCGTTGGAGAATAATATGACAGATGCGTAACTTTCCTATGGAAAAACAAGTACAAATAGTTGTTGCTTCAATGGCTCTTCACAACTTTATAAGACGTCATTCAATGACAGATCAAGAATTCCAACCATATGAACAAAATCTAACCCATAGGCGTGAGATGGCTGACGAACGCGAGAGAATTGTAAATCTTCTTATGTCTGGTTAATTCCTTTTTTTATTTTTAAAAAATGATTAAAAATTATACTTGGTGAAGTTCATACCTTTTTAAGTCATGTTTTTATTTTGGGATCATGTGAATTTTTATTTCCTATGTTTATTATAATATTTTGGGATTCTTTAAAATTTTTTAAAGCACTTTTAAAAGCACTTTTACTATGTCAACCAAACACTCAACAAAATATCAAAAACGCTTTTATGTAGTGTAAAAGTATTTTTAAATGTGACATCTAAATGACAAACTGCTTCTTTGTAGAAGCGCTTATGTCATAAGCACTACTGGCACAAGCGCTTCAGAAAGAAGCACTCCCAAATGAGCCCTAACCTGCATGGCATGCCAACAACTTTACCACTATTTTAAGACCGTATTGGCTAATTAGCTTTTAATTTAGTAGTATTACTTTTCCTTAATGTTCATGGTAAATGTCTTAATATTTTATATTCAATAATAAATTATGGGTGCTGATTTCTCAAGCATTTATAACCACAATTTACATGATCTAAAAATCATAACCCAAAAAGTCATTTTTGGTCCTTGTAATTTAACAGTTTCACTATTTTGATCATTGTGGTTTCAATTTAGTCAATTTTATTCGTGTAGTTTTCAAGTCCAAGCATGTAACATCTCACATCGACCAACAGAGAGGGGGTGATGTGCCTTATATGTACATGCCCTCCTCCATCTAGCACAAGGCCTTTTGGGAGCTCACTGACTTCGGAGTCATGGGAACTCTAAAGTTAAGCGAGTTGGGGCCAGAGCAATCCCAAGATGGGTGACCCACTAAGTAGTTGCTCGTTAGCTCCCAAAAACAAAACCGTGAGGGCAGAGAGGGGGGCCCAAAGCGAACAATATCGTGCTATGGCAGAGCCGATCTCGGGATGTGACAATTTGGTATCAGAGCCACTCTGTCGTGTGGTGCGAGTGTGTCGACGAGGATGTTGGGCCCCTAAGGGGGGTGGATTGTAACATCCCACATCGACTAACGGAGACGGGGTGATGTGTCTTATATGTACATGCCCGCCTCCATCTAGCACGAGGCCTTTTGGGAGCTCACTAGCTTCGGCGTCATGAGAACTTCGAAGTTAAGCGAGTTGGGGCTAGAGCAATCCTAGGATGGGTGACCCACTGGGAAGTTGCTCGTGAGCTCCCAAAAACAAAACCGTGAGGGCAGAGAGGGGGGCCCAAAGCGGACAATATCGTGCTATGGCAGAATCCCGGGATGTGACAAAGCAATTCAAAGATATCCATCTAACTTTTGTTACTTTTTTAAAGTGTGCTATTCGCGTGGAGGGGTATTTCGTTCCACTCGTGCCATAACAAATTAGCTCTCGTCCTATTCCACATCAGACTCGAATTGGGGATTTGGGGATTAGGGTTCTTAAAATATTCTGATTTATGGGTTTGAATTTGGTTCAAATGACATAAGGTTCAAATTAAGGGCAAGTAGAGGGTGAGAAATTCTTCATTCGAAGGTGGATGAAGTGGTTGTGTGGTACTATTGATGGGTGACCCACTTGGAAGTTGCTCGTGAGCTCCCAAAAATAAAACTGTGAGAGCAGAGAGGGGGGCTCAAAGCGGACAATATCGTGCTACGGCGGAGCTGATCCTGGGATGTGACAAAGCAATTCAAGGATATCCATCTAACTTTTGTTACTTTTTTAAATTGTGTTCTTCGCGTGGAGGGGTATTTCGTTCCACTCGTGCCATAACAAATTAGCTCTCGTCCTATTCCACATCAGACCCAAATTGGGGATTTGGGCATTAGGGTTCTTAAAATATTCTGATTTATGGGTTTGAATTTGGTTCAATTGACATAAGGTTCAGATTAAGGGCAAGTAGAGGGTGAGAATTCTTCATTCGAAGGTGGACGAAGTGGTTGTGTGACTTTGAGGGTAAGTAGAGGGTAAGAAAAGCTTTTGTTGACGCCAAAAAGTGGTTCTCTGACTTTGAGGGTCAACTTAGTAATTTTATGCCTTCGGTATCCATGATGCCTCGGTAGTCAATCGTGATATGCAATATGAGCAAACGCACGGTAAGACCTAGGGCACCGGTGTGGTACCGGCCGAAGGCTCTCCGATGCTTAAGTAAGTACGGGAATAGAAAGTTCAACTGACAGATCAATAGGCTTGTATGCCGTTAGTTCTGATTACCTCCATTTTGGGA